CTTTGGCATGGTTCTGCATAGTACCGTAAAGCTGGCCCCTCCTCAGTTCTCACAACTGTAGCTTCTTTCTCCCATTTTATAGATGTAGAAACTGAGGCAGAGAAAGGTTATGTACCTAAGATTATATTGCTAGTCAATGGTAGAGTCAGGATTTGAATCCAAGTAGTCTGGCTCCAATGTTTGTACTCCTGATAATTTATACTGCCTCAAAAGAGCATATTATACTAACGCAGATATTCTCAACATGTTAAAAACATAGGTTGAAAGGCACCTGGGTGGCTCAGTCGGTTAAGCATCTGCCTTTGGCTCAGGTCATGATCCCAGGGTCCTGGGATCGAGCCCTGCATCGGGCTCCTTGCTCAGTGGGCAGTTTGCTTCTCCCTCTCCATCTGCCTCTCCCCCGTCTTACGCTCTCTCTCGCTCTCACTTTCTCTCAAATGAGTAAATGAAATCCTTAAAAAACAAACAAACAAAAAACATAGCTTGATATCCAAAAGATTAAGAAAATTACTTTAAGGATTCATGACCTTCTATGTCAAGATACCAGGGAGTCAAAGACCCCTCAGGATAAGCCCCAGCTCTTCCAATTTCCTGTTTTGTGATCTTTCACGAAGCAGATTAAGGTCTTTTCTGTAAGTCTGGGATAAATAATTCCTGCCCTACTTTTTACATAGGGTTATTTTGGGGAATAAAATTGAATAAGATCACAAAGTATCATTTCAGAAAAAATTTAGATATTAAAAATTAAGCTAATGAGATGACACTTTGTTTTGCAAATCGCAAAGCTCTGTGCAGATAGCTTTTTAAAAGTTTCTTTCAAAGGGCTTAAAAAATAGTCTTAACAGGCTCTCACCTAGACTTCTGAAATAGATTCCAGACACTTCCCTGCCTCCAGTCTCTCACAATTGAGATCTATGTTTCACAAACCATCATCTGATCAGTTGTCTAAAAACAAGTTATTCTCCCTTTAAAAATATTTTAGAGAAATCCAATACCTACTGAAGTTATTGTAAACCCCTTGGCTGTTAATCTGGGGACTACTGAGATATGGACCAAAGCCAACCATAATTGAACAGTGGAAACAGTCCTGCAACATGCTGACCCATGGCTTAGTCTTAGCTCTGAAAACAGGTAGTCTTGAAGAATTTAATAGCTCTCTGAAATACAGTTTTTCATAGGTAGCACCTTGTATCTACCATGTATCCATGTAGCTACTGAGATACTGATTGAGCACTGGGCACATAAAGATGAATAAATTCATCTATAATTCACAGCATATTCTTTGAGTCTACTGTTCAAATTATATTGCCCATTGTTTCCCTACAAAAACCCAACACTTACTCGCTACTCCATAATCCAGACTGATAGAGCTGATAAATCTCTTATCTAGGCCAACCTCACCAGTCAATTGTCTTCTCATCTTTATTTATTTA